GGCAGCAGGTTAGTTGCACAGCCACATTGGGTGGACCTTGCTTCTTTTCACCAGGGGCTGGGAACTCACAAGTAGCTTAACGTTATCCGGAGGCTAGTAGCGTCCGGGGCCCAGGGCCTTGCCTTCTTAGCTCCTTGGACACGTACAGTGCCTGCTGCAACCAGGCAAGCTGAGATGCCTACACAAAGATCACTCAGTTCAGAGAAGTAATTACATCAGCAAGGAGAGACAAACGGAAAGCCATCATCATAATGAACAGCCCCTCCCAGCCACTTTGAGCCACTTTTCGCTGCCATTGGCAATCACCTCAAAACCCTCTAAACCACACAAATGTGCCTCTTCCCCCTACAGGGAAGGGCCTTCCCTGCAATTTGTTCCAGGAGCTCCCTAGTTCTCTAAACAGGGCCTCTTGTCACAGATAGCCTCCTCACGGCCCCGCCCTTTGAGATTGTACCTGCAGAGCCAACTGTGTAACGAAGATATGGGGCATGGTAAAAACATGTCCTCCCCTTTGGAAAACCTCAAGTGCCTCTGGGCGTGGTTTTGTTTGTGGTGGGCTAGATAAGGTTCTTCCAGAGCTGGCCCAGAATTTTTAATGCATTTCTTTTCAAGCGCTTGTAATCTGCAACTATCAAAGATGCGCTTCATCAGACACTCGCTCTCCTCACCCCTAACATCCATTTCATATGGGCTTTTATTTTACAAGCCACTCAGCATAACAGGATGTTTTCCTTACAGCAAAGTTTGGCACAGTTTTCTGTTTGAAAATACAAAAGCCAGTTTCACACATCTGGCCCACAATTAGGCATCTCCCTCAACTAATATTCTGAGCTGCGTGTGCCTTCCTTGGAGAACTGAGAGCAAGATGCCTCCAATGGGGAACACGAGTACCTGAAATATTAACAGCCGCATTTGATCTCCATTAGCAGGTGTCACATGGGACCTTTTCCATGAATTATCTCACTTACTCCTTATAACACCCTAAGAAGTAAGGCCTGTCATTTTACCAATAAGAAAAATGAGGTTAAATGGCTTGCTCAGGATTACCCAGGAAGAAGCAAAACCAAAACTCAAACCCAGGCCCTTGGCCACTATGTCACGTCTCTGCAAGCAAATCACAATTCAGATTATGCTGAGCCATCATCACCGTCAGTGGAAGCTACATAAGGCAAAGCAAAGTAGTAGGAAAGAGCTGTTTCCGGGATCTGCAATCATCAGAATTGTACACAAATAAATCTTTGGATTATCTCACAAGTATTTGAGGTCTCTCTCTCCTTTTCAAGAAATGCCCATTATCACAAGCTTTCTTGATATAGTGTGGGCTATGTCTCTAGGTCTGTAAAATATATGGGCCAATTTATTTAGAATGAAATAGAATTATTGTAGTTGAGAGAGGTGGGCAGTCAGGTCTCAGCTGGGGCCCCCTGATGTCTTGAGGAAAGTCGCCACCAAGTAAGAAGACGATTTTAAAAAGAATCAGCTGGCCACAAAATCACAACCAATCAGCTGGTCAAAGTGGACATGGCGTATTTACAGAAAGGAAGCAAAGACTGGTCAAAGGAAAACCAGAGGAAGCCTCCAGCACCTTCACAAGGTGGCAACCAGGCCAAAGGACTATTTCACAGGCAAGGACCCGGCACAGAGGAGACCCGAGTTTCAGAAGTCACACAACTACTGCTAGGGTGAGTCACAAACGCCAGTTCTCCTCCCCGTGAGTTCTGAACTAAGATGGAAAAGCCTTATGCGTCAGAGGAGAATGGAACGTTGCTTCCAGGATCCATGGAAAAAAACACTAACGCTTCCTTTAAGAGTCAGCCATCAGAATCTAGGAAGGGTGCGGCCCAGCCGGCCCGAGAAAACCAAACTTGAACTTAAAACGTCTAAGTAACGGCCCCACTCCGCTTTTTAAAACTCAAAATTTAGACCCCCAGGGGAAAAAAATGATTGTCCATGACTTCTTAGGGGCAGCATTAATCTCCTTTCAAGGTGCGGTATCTTTCCCCAAGATAAAAGGGCTAGTGGTGAGGGCAAGTGGTCAGGTTCGAAAAAAATACCCCCGGGCGGGGGAGGGGTGGGACAGAGAGCACGACCCGCGGAATGTGGGGTGGTTCGGAAGGCGTACCCGCTCCCCGCTTCTCGTTCGTGGTACAGAAAGGAAGCCGGGAGCTTAGAGCACGCCAGGGGTCTCCGGCGCGGGGACGCTGCGGGCCGCCGGCGGGGGAAGGGCTCGGAGGCTCGTCGGCCCCAGCGCGGAGGCCGGCGCAAGGTGGGCACGGCTGCTCC